GATGGTATTCTGCATTGCTGTATAATGCATTGCTGAGATTTGTAGTCCTCTGTAGCTGATGGTATTCTGCATTGCTGTATAATGCATTGCTGAGATTTGTAGTCCCTCTACAGCTTGGAGTCAGTGGCAGAACTACCAGGGTTACAGGGTTTGCAACTGCGTCCGGGCCCTAACACTGCACCACTGTCCTAAAATCATTAGTCTCTCTAGTTTTAGAAAAACTGTCACATGACACTAAAAAAAAGGTTCAGTAATTGGTATCGGCGAGTACTTGAGGAAAAGTGTCGTTACTCGGACTTGTAAAAATGGTATTGATGCATCCCTAGTCTCTACACCTGGAGGTATTCCTCCTGACATCCAGGTTAAAAAACAAACTGGGCAGGTTTGTGTTTAGTTAAAGGGATCCTCGAGCAGAAGCAGCGGATGCTTTGGTGGCTCTGTACCTTTCTTCCCCTGAAAATATGCAGAATTGAGATGGAGAGCATTGGATGGAGAGTGGTCCTCACTGCTCCTCCTGACCCAGGCAAATGTGGTATGCTTCCTGGTAAGACTCCTGACAGGTGCTCCTTTTCTTGACTCTGAGAAAAGGGTTTTGCAGTGAATACAAAATTCCTATATTTGCTTACATGATTACATTGGATCTTTAAACTGTTCTTTAAAGGAACCTGTATTGACAGAACCTAGGGCTGGCATTGCTGACCTCTGAAAATGCTAGATGTGTAACTTTGATGCTAATCCAGCGGCTTTAACTCTTTAGGTGCCAAGCCCTGTGCTCCTAAGGTCAAGAAAACAATTGTTTCAATAAAATACACTAAAATTATTAGTGCACAATAAACACAACAAAACGTACAATATTCAAACGAAATCTATACTATAAATGATATTGTTATTAAATAACTAACTCCGATGCTACAAATCTGGATGTTGGCTTCACACCTATGCCTTGTTGTAAAGCCTGATCCACAGTAATGTGTGTGTGTGTGTGCTGACATAGTGACGTGCATGTACTGACGTGTGTTGTAACAGCGCACTGGAGCACAATGCACAACAGCACACAAGTTATGTGGACCTGTTGGTGTGAACATGCCCTTAGGGTGTTCAGCAGGAATAAGCTTGAAATTACAGCTCTGTATTGCTTATTTAAGGGTTGGGAGTGTAAGGCCTGCGCCGTCTCATGTAGACTGGCTGGTTGTCTCTTGTGGACCTGTTCTTTGTTCAAGTTTCACTCTAGGGACCTGTTCTGCTGGGGACTTGTTAAAATGTTTATTTCTGTTGACCACATCACACTGGTCAGTTGGTCAGTATGTCAGGTGGTTATGTTGTTCCACCTGTGTTTGTGGGCTTTTAGTTACACAGCCTCTTGCTGGTGCCAACTTAGACTTCCTTTCTTTGGAGTCATTTCCCTTGGTATCAATCTTTTCTATCCTGGTTTTGAGCATCAGGTTAATACTCTGTGGCCTTTCCTTTGCAGGGGCATTCACCTCACCTGGTTCTAATTTGGGTGTTGGTCCTTCAGGTAGTCCAGAGTTGCAAATGTTTCCTAGTCTCTTCTTGGATATGTCAGTGGCTGTTGCCCACCCATCAATTGGGCAGTTTTTTGATGCCCCAACTGTTTTTGAATTTCTGTATCCCTCAATGAATGAGAAAGAAAATAAGATTTTTGTACTTACCTTAAAATCTATATTTTGGAGCCCATTAAGGGACACAGGTCCCACCCTCTGTGTTTTTTGCTTGCCCTGGTCCTGCTTTTCAACAAAACTTGAGGCATGTTATATAAAAGGAGGGGTTGGCCAGTGTCCTAAACCTCCTATAGGTATCAGTATAACCCGACTGTTTCTGAATTCTAATGTCCCTCAATGGACTCTTATTTTCTTAAAAATTCTTATTTTTGGGTATAGACACACTTTAAAATTCTGTGAATATGGGCAGAGAAGTGACAATCTTCTTGTTCTAGTAAGTTGCAATGTCTTCTTACTGCCTGTCATAGATAATTCATGGACAGGAACTTTGCCCAAAACATGTATAGGAAAATCTGCAAGAAAAGTTATCTAAAGGACAATTTCACCTTAAAGAAAAAATAAATAAAACAGCCTCACCCTCCTTTCATTGTCTTACCCCCTTAAGGCATTCTTGCAGCAGGAATCTATGGATTCCTGTGTCAGGAATCCCAAGTGTCCAGTTCAGATATGGTCGCTGTGCCCGTTCAGGTAAATGACAGGATGACAGTAGCCAGCTCTGTAAACTGCAATCCACATCTATCCTGCATACAACGACAGTCATCTATTCCAAACGGCATGTGATCGACATGAAAATATTTCTTACATGTTGGATTTATGAAGCATGCAAGATTTGCTACATTCTCTTAATTGATCTTAAGCAATGTGCTTCTTTATACCTGGACAACCCAGAATCAGGTTATTATAACTGAAGAACACAAATGTAATATAATGCAGCTTACCAGTCCTTAGATTTTTATTTTCAGCCTAAGTACATTTTCTGCAAATACAGAAAATACCCATCAGTCCTGATAGAAATGCAGTATACTTGTTACTTCTTGCTTACTGAATTGAGATCTCAAACAATGTTATGGTCTTCTCAAGATATCTTTCAATAGATATATGAAGAGGGGGAGGTAAATGTAGCTTAAAGAGGAACTTTACCCATATCTTCAAAATAACAACAAACACACCTATAGAAATGTTTAGCAATGACAATCTACAAACACATACTTCTAGATAACTGCCGGCTTTGTATTCTTTGCATACCTTATTTCTCTTCTCTTCCCCAGTCTTCTGACAGTAGCCATGTTTACTAAGGGAAGATTACTAGATCTCTCTTTACTTCCTGGATTTCTGGCACATGTGACTAGGACATGTGACCATGCACATTATCTCGTAGGAGCAAAATGCCTTTCCCTGAGATCTCCAGAGATTTCCCAGCAATGCTCTGCTGATGTAACCTTCCCAGGATGCAGCGCTTGGGCACATAATTTGTGCCAAAGTGAGCCAAGAAGTTTAAAAAACAATTGTAAAAAACCTGCCAAGAGTCTGGTTTCTAGAGAGCCAATATCCGATCCATTTTACGCTTCATTAACTGGACTCTGCTGGAACCCGACGAACCCAGGACTTTGCTAAGTATCTTAGTCCTTAGTCCCTTTTTGTTTGATGTTATATTATTTGTCTCTTTTGTGATGTAATACCCATTCTGTAAATATTTTTTTTTCTGTATTGTTTTTCTTTTCCTTTATAAAATTATTTTTTAGGCTCTGAGCGTTATCTCTAAGCTCTAAGTCAGAGTTTAAAGAATCCTTGTGCTATAATATTTTGGATTGTAAGCCGTCACTGGCAGGGCCCTCCTTACCATCTTGTCTTGAATTGTATTGTGACTGTAATGTCTTCCTTATATTGTAAAGCGCTGCGCAAACTGTTGGAGCTATACAATTCCTGTATAATAATAATAATAATAATAATATTATAATCCAGCCCCTCCGCTGTCACGGCAGAGAGCTGTGACAGGATCGAGAGGTGAGCGAACGCCGTTACGTGTTCGCTCACCTCCTGATCTACTGAGCCGACCTGTGACAGTCTCATTGTCACAGGTCGGCTTAGAACTATTGTGAAGGAATATGGATCATATCAAGAAAATGTCCTTTTCTATGTTTTAAATTGTTTTGAATTAGTTTAATTTGCTTCCTAGCCTTGTGACTTTACTTACTCAGCTTTTTAGCGTTGCTATGCGTCACAGGTCGGCTAGAACTATGAGGTGAGTGAAAAGCACTCACCTCATAGTTCTCCTTTAATAACACTCCGAGTTTATTGCATAACTCTTAGATCTCAACTCACAACCACACACAACATGCTTTATTTAGTCCAATCTGTAGGGAGTGGTATTTTACCACTGGCTCTGCCCACATAGCTGCGTCATCCATTCACAAATCCATTGACAGGATCTGTAAATGGAGAAACTACTGTGGCGGAGGGACTTGTAGTCCATTCATTCTTGCTCCCATCCCTGTTACTGAATGTCTGTAAAAAATGTATGTATGCATGTGAGATTGGGACTAGATGGCCAGCTCCTTGAGGGCAGGGACTGATGTGAACTTACTTTATGTCAAGCACTGCGTAAATTGGTGGCACTATATAAATACCTGTAATTAATGTAAAAAATAAATACTGATCGATCCATGAAGGTCCTTGTTTAGGCCCTTCCTACCTTGGTGACTCCAAATTGTGCTCCTGCTTTTTTAACCTATGACAGGCACACCTGGTGGAAACTACACGTAGCCATGTTGACACACCTGTCCAGGATTCACCCGGACAGTCCGGGTTTTGAATGCTGTGTCCGGCAGCAGAAACCCAGACACAAGATGTCATGCAGACAGGGCCAACCAAAACTAAGATAGAGGCTACTGGCCTCCCACGAAAATAGTCTCAACTGTGATATTTGCATATGAATGGGTGGCGCTATTTACATAGGAATAAGCCGCGATTCATTCTCCCAAAAAAATGTCAGCGTGTCGCTAGAGTGTCCGGGTTTCGTTTGAAGAAAAGGTGGTAACTCTACATTGCACAGGCATGGTCCATTTGTAACTTGGAGAAATACAGTCCTCCGTAATGACGTTCAGTTGATGCTGGAACAAACGGGAAGTGGCTTAAATAGGCGGAAGGAGCCCAGCAGCACTGTGATGCAAAAAACATGATAAAAGTGAAAGCAGTATTTTATAAAAAAGCATTTTTCATTAATTTACCACATTGCTTCAGCAATCTAAATGTCCTCCAGTTAAGGTTTAGATATAAACAAAGATTCCTCCGCTAGTAGTCATGTGACATTTCAGCAATATTGGTAGATAAAGTAGGATGCTTTCACCAAACAGAAAGCATATCGGATTGCAAACTCCCTGCAGAAACCTGACTGAGCAAGACAAAGGAATGCCAACCACGAGTACAAGCTTGAAAGCAACTTAGCAATAAAAGCCCGAACCAAATAGAGAGACCGGGGAGGGGAGACACATGACAAAGGAGGGAGACAAATGGACAGCTGAGATTCCACTTATATGGTCACTGCTCCAACATGGCATGTGCATGGGACTTTCAGTTTCGGGTCCTGCTGCTGGGGGACTCTGGAGTGGGGAAGACTTCTCTCCTGAGGAGATATACTAATGAAGAATTTACAGAGACCACCGGACCCACCGTGGGGGTAGACTTCTGCTGCCGGATCGAAGAACCAGAGGATGGAGTTAGAGTCAGGCTGCAGTTCTGGGATACAGCTGGTCAGGAGCGATATCGGTGAGCCCGGTTGTGTGGACTGTGTATGTGTGGCAATTCAAGCTGAACTCCAGGCAAAAAGCTAAACACACAGATCTATCTATCTATCTATCTATCTATCTATCTATCTATCTATCTATCTATCTATCTATCTATCTATCTATCTATCATCAGCTGTTTTAGCTGCCAAAGGATTTGTCTTTCTGTCCATCCAATCCTGAGATTCACACACTCTGCATCAGAGCACAACCAGGTAGGGTAAAAATAGCACAAGCAGGGCAAAATATGTTTTTCTACTGCATTTTTGTAACACTTCTGGGTCTTGTACCTACCCCAGGCTGTGATTGGACAGTGAAAGAGAAAGAATCAGGAAATAGATACCTCTGCCTTTATTTATTGCTGTGTATGTCCCAGGATGGGAGTTTTGGTAGATTAGGGACTACTATACAGAGGGGCCTTGACTGGGCAGTGTGGTTTCCACACAGACTTGCTGCAAATATATGCTATTACCACAAGGGTGGGCAACTCCGGCCCTTAAGCTGTTGTGGAACTACAAGTTCCATGAGGCATTGCCAGTTGCAGGCATGACTTGCAGAGAAATGTTGGGATTTGTAAATAAAGCACAGCCGGAGGTAGGGGTGTAACCACAGATCACAAGGCAAAAATTTGATTGGGGGAGGGGGGACAACCTCTCTCTAAGTTTTGACTAACCGCACCAAGATCGCAAAGACTCCTCTGGTGCATCTGATGTCAGCTTTCCTACACTGCAGGCTTTGTTATCAAATGCAACGACTCCAACCCTTAGGGCCTGTTCACACGACGTCCGTTTTTTGTGCTGACCTGATCCGTACGCTCCTGCACTAAAAATGCATCCCAATGTATCCCTATGTGTTTTATGGGCTCCAGTTCTCACGTGCGCAGTCCCTTCAGCTTACGACAGAAAAAATACTGCATGTCACATTTTGTCAGGTCCGGAAACGCACGAGAAAAAAAAGAAAAAATGGTATTCTTGCTCCACTTATTATGATGTCATCAACGTTGACAAAAAATTAACTGTCAGCATCCGGACCAAAAACGCGTCAAAAACGCACTGCATCAGCAGCTCCACGTCTGCTGATCAGCACCTGATCAGGACCTGATCTCATGTGAACAGGCCCTAAATGACACAGTACTGCGTTCTCTTGTATGGTTAATTTGCCTCAACAACCTAATGGGGCCCCATTCTACCCCCAGGCCCCATAGCAGCTGCCTGTGCTGATATGACTATAGTTACCCCACGGGCTGGAGGGCCGAAGTTGCCCACTCCAGTACTTACACCTTAGTTTTTAATACATGAAGGGGAATTTATCTGAACTGGAGCAGACAGAATCTGGAACAGTTGTCCATGGCAACCAATCAGCTTCTATCTTTCATTTTCAAAGCTTAACTGAACAAACTGCAGAGAGAAGCTGATTGGTTAGTATGGACAACTGCTCCAGTTTCAAATAATTTCCTCCCACAGTGTTTGAGGAGTTCTGGCTATTTCTGCTTTAGCAATAAAACCTGACAGGTGGTTTAATCCCTCTCCACTCTATCCAACAAAACAAACACAAAGTTGGCTTCAGTTGCACTTTAACCCACAGAAAGCAGTCTTTCATTCTTCTTACTGCTGGATAACTGATACAATCTGATTTGTTGCTATGGGTCAATGTCCATTAATGATATATCATCCTTTATAGCAGAGGTAACCAAACTTTGGCCCTCCAGCTGTAGTGAAACTACAAATCCCATAATGCATCTGCCTCTGAAAGTCATGTCTGTTACTGTCAGAGTCTTGCCATGTCTAAAGGGATTTGTAGTTTCACCGTAGCTGGAAGGCGTAAGTTTGCCTACCCGGCTCTAGAGTAAAACCTTTTTGATTAGCATCGTGTGTTATAATTCCTTCTAGGAATCCATGCTGTAGCCAATTCTTTACATCTACAAATGATTAGGTTTCGCTAATAAGTCTGTATAAGACTGGTGCTATAACATCACAAGCAATGCAGATTCAGTGTATAGCAGGGAAGAATTGTGTAGAGCAGTTTGAACTGTCTAATTATGTTACATACAGGCAGAACATTGGAATGACCTTCTCAATGTGGAGTCCTTCTGCACATATCCATCATCACTGTATGTCATGTCACTGGATTCCATTGCCTTTGGGAAATGACTCACGTGCCCCACTCAATATGGCCGCCGCTTGAGTGGGGCAACTCAGAATAATAACGTGTGGAGTCCGGTGACGTCACTGACATTGACATCACCGGACTCCTCCCCCCTTCCCTTCGTTAGCCGACTGAGCCACTTGGGGAAGGGGAGAGGAGTCCGGTGATGTCGATGTCCGTGACGTCACCGGATCTCCGACGGGACTCCCGGATCGATCTATCAAAAATGTTAACGATTAATCGAGTAATTAATCGTTAATTTCCGCAGCCCTAACTAAAACACCAGTTGTCAAAAGCTATGCAAGTATCAAAAGGAACCCGCCAAGATAGACGTAGGGTAAGGGAGGTGGCATGTTTTTGAAGGTGTCATCTCCAAGCTTCACCATCCCTTCTGCTTTCTTCATGAGTTGGTGATTTGATGACCACCACATGCTTTTTCTGGGTCATTAATTAGATTTTTCTAAATGTTTTTAAGCCTAATTTCAACTATTTTTTTATCAATGTGTCCTTGTTTCTAAGTATAATTTCCATCATGCCTAAAGCAGACCTTCACCCCAAAAATGGACCCCACTGCAACCCTCCACTTTTTAAAAAAGCCAACTTTTTTTTTGTCTATATTTTTTTTTACTCCAGCCCCCCTTTGGCCTAGGCAAGAATGATGTGTCCCTGCTCCTGCAGCCTCCTGGTATACCCCTGCCACATATCGCAAGGAGGCTACAGGAGCAGGGACTCGCAGCGGGTGGAAGCAAACCAACCTTTCTTTTACTGCTTTTTTGGCAGACTGACTCAAGCCATCTGTACGCTTAGATCCACCTTCCTCTACCATGGCACCTTATGGCTTCCTCAAAATCCTCCTTCAAAAGAGGGACATCAGAGGTAAAAGGAAGGGGTCCTGGTGTGAGGAGGGGTTCCTGATTTGAAGGGGTAACTTGCATGGTGTCCCCCCTTAAAATCCATTACATTTTAGACTGGGGTGCCTCAAGATTTTTGCATACATTTAAAGTGTGCCATGACTGAAAAATGGTTAGAAACCACTGGCTTGGATACATACATTTTACATCACATGCTATTTGAAGTCAATACACAGCATTCCTGCACATAGTAAATGTGGAAATATTGGATAAGGGCAAAGACAATCGTATAATGAATACTACAGACGTGAGTCCAATTAGCACACAGTGCGGTACACTTCACCAATGATACCATTGTATAACTCCAAGGGTTCTTGCCATTCCTCAGTCCATACTGATGCCCTGTAACAGCCAGTGGTGCTCTAAGTGGCCATCTAATTTGTCTATGCCTAGAATGGCCTTAATTTAGATTTAAAAAATGTATTGAGATATAAAACCTGCCAGTGTTAAAAAAAGATGTCTTTGCTTGGCAGCCTCTGACTTTATTACCTTCTGAGTCACTGACCTGTAACAAATATGCAACGAGTAAAGACAGAACTCATCACCTGCATGTTTTTGCAGACCAGCAGGGCAGGCAATGTTTCCTCCAAACAAGGAACTTCCATGGGTACTCCCACCTAACTAGCTGCACGCCAGGCGTTCCTTGCCCTGCAAGTAAACAAAGGGGTGAGATGCTTGTGCTGACATCATTTACCTTATATGACCACACAGACATATAAGGTAATGTTATATGGCATCTAGCCATATGTCGACGATGTCACTACATTCCATCCCTTTACTTACTGGACGGCAAGGAAGCAGTTTCCATCCATGTTTGCGAGGAGCTCCTTCTGGGTTTGGAGGAGCACAGATTCTGACCGGGTTTGATCTGAACCTGAGCTCTTGCCTACTCTTAATACAGTTTTTTTGAGGCCTTGTACACACATAAGCGCAGTGTGTACAACAAGCTGTTACAAAGGCTTTGTAAAGCTTTAAGTAGCTTTGCCCACAAGGCCGATCGCGATCTACCAGTGATGGCGTAGCGATCAATGGTAGATCGCGATGTCCTCTCCCCCCGCCGGTCGGTCTTCTCTGGATCCCCGCTGCTCTCCCCATCTGTATGCAGCGGGGATCCGAGAAGAAGTGAAGGAACCGCTGGCAGCGGAGGACGGAGCCGCTGTCACAGACAGAACTAATGCCGAGCGGTGAGGAGAGAGAGAGAGAAACGCTCGGCCAGGAACTGTCTCGTCGGATCCCCCGCTGCCTCTGCTCGGGAGAGCAGGGGGTATCCAGAGGAGAAGCTGGGCCCCCGTGTGCGTGGCCGAGCAGCAGAGGCTCGGTACATATCCGTGATATGTACCGGTCCCCTGTGCAGGTCAAACACTGGAGCGATCAGCTGATCACTCCAGTGTTTGTAAATAGCTGGGGACACATAGTACTATGTGTCCCCAGTTATGAATGAACAGGATGTTTACATCACGCCCTGTTCATTCATGAGTTTCTGAATGGTGAGAAGCACTCTGTACAGAGGCTCCTCCCCTTTCAGAAACTGCTTGATAGTAAATCGTTTCTGAATGAAAAATTCATTTAGAATAGAGGCTGCAGAAAAAGAGATTGAGGACTTTGTTTCTTTTTCTTTTTTAAAAGGGAAATATCAGAGGGCTGTTTAGACCCCTAATATTTCCCCGAAGCCCCCCCAATAGTAAAAAAAAATAATTAAAAATACGAAAATTTTAATAAGAAATAATGAAAATAAAATAAAAAATAAATTAAAAAAAGTTATTTTTTCTTGCCTCAGATGCAAAAGGAGCTGGTCTACGGCTATGCTCCTGTGGTGCTTGTGCGGCTGCCGGCTGAATGTGTCAGACGCTGCAGATGGAAAGGAGCAGGACACCTCTCCCCATGTGCAACATCGGCCACACGAGCACCATGGGAGGACAGGACGCCG